TCAGCATGTAAGTGTAAGTTGAGCTGATTTTGTGCTTGCCAATTGTATAGGTGAAGGTAGAGAGGGAGGGAGGGAGAATCTAAAATGAAATCAGGAAAAAAAGAAAAGCTCTAAGGGAAAATGAACCTCACCTTTCGACTGTGGAAATGCATTCGCAATGCATAGTTTGGGTTTTGCCTATTTTAAATGGTCTTCTGGGAAGTGACCTGGATGAAGTAAACATCAGCCTTGTGTTTATGCTCTGCATCTCTTGGTGGAATGAAGCTGCTGAGTGAAGAAGGAGGGATTCTGCTAAACTACTGAAATCCAACTGCAGTTTTCTTGCTACTTAGGAATTAAGAAACCTATAGACTGCTTAAATAATAAAGAAAAAAACAGACAAATTCTTAATGTGTATGCTGAAGATATATAAAACATTGGTCACACACTGTTGCGCTCAGGAAGAACAGCAAGGTCATTGTACCTCTAACTCTCAGGCCAGGAACAGTGTATCCTTCAGTATCAAGAAATGCAGAAGACATTAATATAAGAGGCAAAAAGATTTCACTGTAAACAAGAAGAATGTACCTTTAAAAAAATCATGTACTTGTGTAGGCAGCAAAGATTATGGGATATGTCTTGTCCTTTCTTAGTGCTTTATGGAAACACAGAAAGAGCAGCCAATAGGAAAAGTACAGTCTGTTCTGGACAGCCTTTACAAGTTGTAGTGGGTACTTTGGTTTACAGCTTAGAAGGTAACGTCAGCCCTCCAGATTGCGAAGCTAATGAAATCTGTCTTAAAATACTGAGTCTCCCTTCCAACAAAGTCAGCAGTACAGCAACTATGGTCTTTCCAGAATTGTCTTCTACCTAGTCACTCAGAGCATGGGCAAGGCAGAGACATTTTTCTAGATATACAGTGAAATTTGGTGTAAAAAGGAAGCATCCTTCCCTTCATGAAATGACCAAGTAAGGTGAGTTCTGATAAATTAATGCAGCAACACGAGGTGCTAGACTCTGAGACACATTAGGGCTGCAAAAGTGTTTGAGATATAGCTATCTATCTGAGTTATTTGGCAGAATGCCTGCAGTTCCAGAAAGATAATTTCCTATCAGCTAAAGGCTCATGTGTCACTGCAGTTCCAGCTGATGAATGTGCAAAGCTCCAGGTGGATGATTTGGAATTAACTGTGGGTAGTTGGTGAGAAGAATTGAATAAGAGGAGTGGGACAGATAAGAACTGCACAGCAATAAAAAATAATTTCTTCCTTCTCTTTTAGCTTCACTATTCATCGCTGTCTCTGTAAAGACAGCTCTGGCTTTTTTGATTCTTCCTGCTGTAATTTTTGTCATTTTTATTGGTATGTACAATATACCAATATACAGTTGAGAGCTGATGAAGGAGAAAATGAGCATCTGAAAGAGAAGAAAGGTTATCAAAGTGCCTGAGGTGTTTTAATTTACAGCCATTCTTCTTGATTAGAAAGTTACATTAAAATTGTCTGGAGCGTAGCGTACTTCAGTTCCATGTTACTGCTGGACATGAAGACAGCATAAACTGTTTGCAAGTTTTTATACACTTATTCTTGGAAGAATGGCTGTAAAAGAAGGAGCTGTCAGTATGATAGTTATCAGGGCCAGAAGAACTGAGAAGATTGAATTAAGCAGATGAGTATTTTTATACATTCTTAATTGCCTTCAAAATTCTGCCTTCAATGGAGGAAAACGTTGTCCATCAGCTTTTAACTGAAGGGGAGAATAAGAGGTTTCACTTTAGATCTTCCTGGGAAAAGTTGGTTATCTAGCAAACCCTTTCAATCTTTTCTGTAACTTCAAAAAGGAAGGAATGTAATGCAAACATACTTGATTTGGGGGTTTTACATACATATCTAAATGCGTTCATTTCATTGGTCATTTGTTTTTGACTTCTTCCATTTCCTGCCCTTCCTTGGAATGGTAAAAAGAAGTACAAAATAACAAAAAGAAGTAGCTGAATAAATGCAAGTCTTGAATACGAGATTATCTGATAAGAAAATGTTCTAAAATGCTAAAAGGTGGTTGTTATATTTCTCGTGGGACAGTGCACAGAAGTGTTAATTTTTTTCAATTTGTGAAAGAAGCGAAAGAATATCTGGAGGTTAATGAGGATATTCTTAGTACTACAGAAGGATATAGCACACAGATATATGCAGACCACATTATCTAGGTGGCTAGAATAATTGTTTTTTGAATGATGCAGAGCCTAGAAAGTTTATCTTCCTTGATCTCTGGTTTTTCAGTGTCTACCAAAGCACAGAGCAGTGAAGCAGAGAGAGCAAACCAAGCAACTAGGAATAAGCAGAGGAATGCATTCTGGAACCTGGCAGCCTGTGGCCACTCACCTTGCATATAAATCAGGTTTTTTGCACATAGCCCTGGAGTAGAATATATTACACAGTGGAATATGTCCTCTGCTGTCAGTATAAGAGCAGAAGCCTGTAGTGTCTGCAGATTCTTTCTTGTTTAGGACCATGGAAAAAAGCAGAATTAAATGCTTCCAACTTCTGTTTATGAAAGCACTCAGAAAACAGAGGCAATATGAATGGTCTTAATATAATCAGTCTTCCAAGGAAGGATCTGATGGATTACGGGCTTACATTCACTCAAGTATGCAATTGCTAAATAAACCTCACTTTACCTGTTCAAGATCTAATGGTGGAAGGCACCTTCTTGTGCCTCATCTGTCTCAATATTCCCACTAAAATCAATTCATTGTGCAGAGGGTTTGCAGGATCAGGCGCCTAAAGGATAACTGTTTCCATTGTTTTATTTAAGCTTGAAATTTTTCTAGTATTCTTGCAAAATATGGCTGAAAGTGGCTCTTGGAGTAGACTAATTCATAATTACAGACCAGGATATTCAACTTCAATTCAATCATCTTCTTATACTGCTGAAAATATAACTCCTCCTTAAATAAAACCCATACTTCCAAGTGCAGGACATAGAAGTTTACAGAGTAATAGATTTTACAGAGTAATTTGCTACTGAGAATTAGCAAAAACTTCAACATATATTTTGAAATCAGAAGGTCATAATTGGTTTAGAAGACATCAGATTGGGCAGATTTTGCTAAAAATAAGGTTTTGATCTTACCCTAAAATATTTCTTCTCTGTGCTTCTAATTTGAATTGTGTCACTTAGAGAAGTGATCCTCCTCCCCCACCTAAGCCCAGCTCTGTCGCTGATACTTTAGATGAGTAAAAACCAGAGGAAAGTATTTTGCATACTGCAGTTAGCTTTTGTGTTAGCAGGTTTTTTTCAATTAAAAACTCACTGGAAGCACAGAGCAACAGCACTGACAGACAATGATGTTTCAAGGAACATGACAGCATTTCTGTTCCTTTAGAATTACCATTGCATTAGTTTTTCTTGTTTGCAGGATTTTCCTTCTGAGGATAAAAGGAACTGCTCTTCAATCACACCTACTACTGATTTTTTTATCAAATACTGTGTGGAAGAGACAAACATTTTTTGAGACCATAAAAAAATTATCAGGTTCTCCAGAAGAGAAAAAAGATAGAATTTTGATTTTAGGTATGTTTTAATTTTAATAATTTGTAACCATTTGTTACAAGGGTAATGAAAAGTCATTACTATTTAGTTTTGAATCGTTTTTTTTTTGTTGTTTAATAACAATTATTGAGACAGTCTGTAAAAGATGTAATCTAGTTTAACACCATAAAAATAGTTTTTGAAAAAATGGGTAGTTTAAGAATTTAATGGTTGAAAGCTTGAAAATTACAAAATAGCTTTTTAGGGTAAAATATAGTTGGTAGTTCAGGAAAAAAATGAAAACAACATTTTCCTACATGTGGCAACTATTCCATGTTTAATCCAAGTGTGGCAACTGAGCTCCTGTAATGCACTGTTCAAGTCAAAAGTGTTCAGTCTTCAGCTCAGACCCAGGGAACAACTGCTGTGAGTAACGACTGCAATATTTAACTGCACAGAAGGAACAAAAAAAGTCCTTTGGCACACATTTTTCAATTTTGTAAATTGTAAATTGTAAATTATCTTTGAGAGAAAAAATAAGAATGTATGAGAACGCTTTTTAGTAAATTGCAATCTGAAGAAAGTCACATATTCCTAGTGCTATTGTATTACTCGTGGCCTATCAACTATGATCTGCTACAATGACACAACAAGCAGGAATCTTGTCCTGCTTCAAGTAGAGTACTTTTGAAATCAATGACCATCCTGTGTTTAACCAGTCATAAAAAAGACAGTTAAGAGCTTGAAAAACTGTAGAAGTTATGCCTACAACTGCCTCAGAGATAGGCAAGTCTTTTATTTATATCAAAATAACAGCTTTCTTATAACTCTGCCTTTTCACCTTAAGTTAAAACCAATATGTGTATGTAAGTGGCTAATTCCATGAATCCCAGACCTTTGCAGAAAGTAACGTCCATGTTTTGATCCCACCAGAGACATTTCTTACTGTCCTTTGGTGATTTCGCTGTAGCAAGCAGATCACCAATGAAATACTTCCCAAAACCTATGGGACATAGCTCAAGCAAGTTTAAACACAAATGATTGGTTTTGTTGGCTTTAGCTTATTTGCCGAAGCCAGTGTATGTTGCTCTGAGCCTCAGAGATATGGCAGTATTTTGAAGTAAGTATGGGAATGAAATAAAAAATTACATATTTAACCTTTGCCTGAACTGTGTATAGCTTCTATGCCAAGGGAGAATAGTAGAGATTCTTATATACAATAATTATTCATAAACATCGCTTACACTACAAATTCAGCTGAATTTTGTAAGAATCTTTTCCTTAAAATGAATAGCAGTAAGGAGAGAATTCTTCCACGTTTTTCTTTTTCAGGCAATTACATATTAAAACTCTTCATCAGGCTCCATGATGGTGGTTAATGTGGCCTTTATAATTTGAGATGAAACTGACCGTGTCCTTCACTTTTTCTGCACTTTCACCATCCCTCCACAGTGTGAAAACACAGCAGTCTTCACCACTACAGGCAACATTTAAAGATAGAGGTATCCAACCCAGTAGACCAGGTTAAACAGCAGGAAGGATGTAGGAAAAAAGACCCTAGAGTAAGAGTCCAGTTCTAAGATGTCTATGTGAATCCGTCCTCTCCTCCATGAGCCTGATTTACACTCTTCATAACAACAGAAAAAGCTCTGGCAGTCTTTCCCATCCAGACATTCATAGACGCACGCATCTTCAAATTCTTGCCAATACATGGCATTGTTCAATGTGATGACTGTAGTTGGTGGTCTCATATCAAGTACAGAATAATTCTGAGGAGAGAAAAAGAGACCAACAGTTTAATAAGCTTCCATGGATGATACAGATCACAATTAATAATCATGGGAAAAAAATCACATGAGCTGAGAATAAGAGGTCGATACTATAGGAATTCTAGATTTAGAGAGCATCTTTCTTTCCCTCAAAAGATGCCTTTTCAGATGAATTTCCATAGACACATTTTGGAGTGGCAAGTTAAATAATTCTAGGTGTATTTTCTACTTGGGTAACTCAAGCATATATTTCCTGGTAATAATTTTTTCACTTAGGAGTTCGCTTGCCTGTCAGAATATTATTTGCAAGTTGCTTTAAACACTTGCAGATACTACGTTTCAGAATGGATTCTGAAAATTAAGGAAGATATCCCCCTTGCCCATTTAATTACCAAATGATCTCCACTTAGTATAGCTGCATTCACTGCCTCTTAACTTTACCGTGATTTATAAAAATAGATATGGTCAGCGACAGATAGTGATGATTTCAGTACAGGATTTCAAAATGCCATCCCTAGGTATGTCCCCTCTGTGCTTATCACACTAACCATGCTCAGAAGTAGGACACTTTGATATCACACATCCTCACAGTACCACTCGCACCTACAGACCTCTCCTTCTTCAATGTACTCCCCATTTACACTTTGTCAGCGTTTCTGTCACACCATTTCCTTTTCATGAAAGATGCTTTCTCACAATAGTCTCATCTCCTACCAAGCCACCCGTTCCATCCTCACAAATGTCACCTTCTCCACTGGCATCACTAGGAAAGGTCCCACCAGTTTCGCTGCCTGCCTGCACCGCCCTGACAAAGCAGACTCCAGCCCTGTCAGCACGGTTTTCCCCACCTCTGGGGCCCTTCGTCTCCCTGTGATTGCACTGAGCATTGCCTTTGCCTGCAGGAGCATGCTGGGTATGCACTAACAAGCTAGTCATGCCTCTGCTTCTTGCCTGGTTGCATTCTAAAGGATGCTCTGGGCTCCTACTTCCACACTTACTATACAAACTACTCAACATTTCCTTTTGAAGGTGTTGGAGGGTATCTGAAACCTTTCACTCTGCATGTGAAACAGATCACTGATATGACTGATGCGCCTCAGTGGAAATTTTCATTTTTCTATTGACTTCATTTTCTTTCTACAAATCCTTTGGTTTGGCACTTGATGATATTACCCATCTCATTAAAAATGCCAGTCCCTGAGCTAAGAAGTTGAAGTGGCATCTCTCTGCTTAAATGTTGGCATCTCCAACATAGATAACTACATCTGAACAACCGCCCTATGGTATCCAGCCAATTACTTCTAGGACAGAATTCATCTCATTATAAGTAAACAGCTAAAATCTCTCAGGTGTATTGTGCTGTGGACTGTAAACAGACTGCAGTTTAGAAGCAGATTATGGCAAATCTATTTGTTGTGAATTACTTTATCACTGAAATTAGATGACAGAAATTACACCCTCATGATCTTCTCTCTCATTTGTAAAGTTTCAGGTGGCTAGTTTCAGAGCTTTACAATGTCCTGCCACATGAAAAAGGTTTAAGATTATTGTACAAGCAATCATTTTTTGACTGTAGCACTTTGGAGAGAAAATGGCTATAACTAAATTATACACGGAATTCTGCTATACCACCATGTCACATATTGTTCATTTATTGCAGGCCTTTATGTAAATTTCCTACTCAGGGACTGAAATCTTCTATGCCTGGCTACAATATTTATGTTAAAAAGAAGAAAGGCTAAGTTATATCTCTTCAGATGATTTTGGTAAGTGAAGATAAATAAGTGCCCTCGTTCTGCAAAGGAAACTTTCTCATCTATCAGTAGCCTGTTTTTTTTTGTGGTTGTTTTGCTATATCAGCTATCTGCTCAGGACTGTAGGTGGCATCACTCCAAGGCTGGAAAAGAAAGGAAAATAAAAAGGAAAAGGAAAAGGAAAAGGAAAAGGAAAGGAAAAGGAAAAGGAAAAGGAAAGGGAAAGGGAAAAGGAAAAGGAAAAAGAAAGGAAAGGAAAGGAAAGGAAAGGAAAGGAAAGGAAAGGAAAGGAAAGGAAAGGAAAGGAAAGGAAAGGAAAAAAAAAAAAAGAAAAGGAAAGGAAAGGAAAGGAAAGGAAAGGAAAGGAAAGGAAAGGAAAGGAAAGGAAAGGAAAGGAAAGGAAAGGAAAGGAAAGGAAAGGAAAGGAAAGGAAAGGAAAAAGAAAAGAAAAGAAAAGAAAAGAAAAGAAAAGAAAAGAAAAGAAAAGAAAAGAAAAGAAAAGAAAAGAAAAGAAAAGAAAAGAAAAGAAAAGAAAAGAAACAAAACTTGAAAAGGCTGGGAATACTTTCCAAGCAGATCAGACTGACTAGGTCTAGACAAAGAACTTGTTAAGCCCTATTGTAATTTTAATTGTGTATCTTTTTCCTTTTTTTTTTTTTTTTTAATTGGCAAAAGAAAAGTGCCACTAGCCATTCAACGTGCCTTATTAACTTCATCTTTCAGAAAAATTTGTCCAGGGAGTGACAGCAGTAGTGACTGTATAAATGCAATGCTTGCTGTGAACGATTCGTTGTCAATAAGCAGACTTTCAATGCTATAGAAGTCCTTTAAATACTTCAGAAAACTCATGCGAAAAAAAAGTGTATAGCATTATTTGTAAAAGGTAAGCTAGTAACATGGAGCTAGTAGTTATAAATTATAAACTTCAGCATATCCAAACCAAGAAAAGCAAAACCAACGTTTTAGTCTGTCCCTGTTCTTGCTTGGATGTGATGGCTGGGAAGCAGGTCATCCAACGAGCTGATTAACTGGCCCTCTGTATGCTTTATATTTATAGATATTATAGTATGCATTCCAGTTTCAGATTTCATACAACTTAGATACACAATTTTGTGCTCAGTTTCAACTTTATTACTGCTGTACGTAACAAATAGTTATCTAGAGGTTTGGTGAATAGAATTTATTCCACTTGTGGGTACAGTACAATGAAATGTGTTAAACTTGTGTGCAAAAATCCACCTGAAAGCTTGCTAAAGATTTTACAAATATGCATAAATGAATTATTACCTATGAAACTCAGTTAAAACTCTGTATAAGTTTATGACATACTTTGTGTTTATTACTTTTTTAAAAAGTGTAATGAGAAACTACAGTATTATGTAAAGCAGATACACAAAATTTCTGAGGTAAAAATAACACACAATATTCTACATTTGACCCTTCTCCCTCCCAAATCATTTGACAAGTCCTTATAGAAAGAGGCAGCTATGTTCCTCTGCCACAGCCAAAAACAAACTGACCTTTTAACAAAAAAGCAAAACAATATTTATAGTGAAGTCAGGGTAAACCATAACATAGCATTATAGCTTTCTTGGGAATTATTGCAAGTAAATGTCAACCATACATTCATGCCTCCATTGTTCTCACTGAATAAAATAGTTTACTTACCATCACATGACCAAAACTGACATCAGGTAGCTTAAATAGAGATAACAAAAGAATTATTCAGAGGAGAACATACTTATTGCTTCATATACATTTAGTGCTCAACAGCATTCCTTAAACCAAGCCTTTAAAGTCATTTGTTCATAAAACACTTCATGCTGAGTATCTATATATTCAGCGTAATATTCTGTACAATTAAAAATTCTATGAAACCTCAGCAGAATGCACACTTAGTTTCCATCCACTTAAATCTTTATTCAACCCATCATATTTATTTCTTTAGCAAACAATAGCTAAGTGAGCATTTGTTCTTGTGTTAGTTTAAATCTCATCAATGTTGCATGCTTTCCATCTTCATTCACATGTCTGGAAATACATCCTACTTACAAAGATACTCATGACTTTTTCATTCAATCTTTCTATAGGTTGGTAATTATAGTTTGATCATTAGCGAGTTCATTTTGATTGTCTCATACTTTTTTTTGCTAACACTCTTTTGCCTTTTGTGTGCAATGCGTTTTTACAAGAAGTTATTAGAGATTTAACGGAGTTTTCATTGACTAAGTATGGCTTTCTAGGCTTTCTATAATTCCATATTAATTTCAGCTTTTCCTTCATTAATTCTTCATTCAGTCATTTTCTATAGGTCCTCATTCAATCCCTTTTTACATCACGACCTATTATTTCCTGAATTTAACCTTCTCTTTCTTCAATTTCCTCCTTCACTTTTTTCCTATTTGACTTTGTATTTCTGACTGCAAATGTCCTTATTTCCTCCATTACACAAAATGGCACCCAACATCTCTAATTACTGATCTCAAACACGTAAGATTTTCCACTGATCTTGAGTGGACAACCCACTTCCCCTTCCCTAGGTTTACAATGAGATTTTTTCTCTGTTACGCTGCCCCCTCTCATTCTTGTAGTCAATTACGAAGTACACCAGGCAATTCTTCCTGCATGATTGTTTTAACTGATTCTAAATAAATAGCTTTTGTGTGTGTCTGGGTTTTACTCTTGGAAGTGTCTTTTTGGCCAAAAATGCAGCCGTGTGTAAAACCTCTGTAAGTGGCCTCCTCTGTTTTTGTACTTTGGAACAAGCCCCTTTGTGCATAGGGCTAAAAACAAGTGCTGGTCCTCAGTGGAAACATTGAAATCCCATCCATAGAGTTCATAAATATGCCTAGACCTGTTAAGCCATGAAATAGCAGATGCATTTCAATATACATTGGTGTGCATACATTTGATAACAAGCTATGCAATCTGTTTCAGTGGGAGCCCTTTATGAATACCAGCACAGTAACTGGAGGACAAAAGATGCGTAGGCAGGGTTGCTGCCTCATGGTCAGCAGGCTGCTTCTGTTAGGAACAGACCTCACTCAACAGGCACGTAACTGCTTCTGCTGTTACTGCGGGGAAATATTTTCCATCAGCTTTCAGGGCAGATCGCATGACAAATTGGGAAGTGCTCAGAGGAGTGGAGTATCATGGGATTACAGGCTGTCACTGAATGATTCTCTGCTCTCTGAGCCATGCACGTGCTAGAAAAGGAATTTAAATGTTCCGTCTTACCGACTTTTTCTTCTTAGTACAGTTTGGTTTCCTGCAACTTGAGTAGTAGTTGAGGGTTGCATACTCCATCAGAGCAGCAAAGACAAACAGAAAGCATACAGTCACAAACAAATCCATAGCGGTGACATAGGAGACACGAGGTAATGACTTTCTTGCAATGGTACTCAAAGTCGTCATGGTCAATACTGTGGTAATGCCTGCAGAGAGAAACTTGATTTATTTGTATGCAACATCATTTGTCCATGTTGCAGAAGAATCTTTGGAAACAAATATACAAAACCAAAATCCAAAGAGTACTCAAATAATTCATTAATTTCATTTGGTAGTATAAAAAATAATTATAAATAACATTGGTAGAGCCAGTGGTATTTTGTAAACATATATTTTCTCAGCTGTTTATATTTGTCTCTGCAAAAGTGACATTCCTATGCCTCTCGGTATGCTTTTCCTCACCTTTTCCTTTTTCTGATCCCGGTTAGGTTGGTGATGGAGGTGAGGGAGAAGCAGAGAATGAAGACATTTTTGAAGAAAAGTATAAAGAAGAAAAAATACTAAACCCAGAAAAAAAAGTAAAGAAACCTAGAAAATACTGAAGGAAATATAGTCTTTTTCACAGCAGTACTGCTCTCATGAAAAATCTTGTGCTCAAAAAAGAAAAAAAGGAGGAAGAGAAAAGAAAAGAAATTTTGCTGAAAAATTCTGACCATGAATTTTGAAAATATGTTTTCACATCACTACTTCCCTGGGAGTCCTCGACTGCTGTTTTTCTTCTGAGTGACAGAAAACAGACTCTCATACAAACATCAGACGTAATCTTAGTGGAAATAGCCTTTTTAATTCATACAAAGCGTCACATCATAGACTGATTTAGTAATAATGAATATAACGGGGCTTAGTGTGAAATAACCTGAAACAATAAAACCAGTCCTAGAATGAAATCTATGGGGTGTCAGTTATTTAGCTGCTGGTAATTCACATAATTTCTCTCTATTCCTGAGGAATAGAAGTCTTTTCATTCCCACTTGGACTGATGCTTTTAATAATTTCTTATGAACTGCAATCCTTCTGATAGAAAAGATAAAACTCCTCAATGACTTAGGAAGAAAAATAAAGCTCTCACTCAAATAAATCTCAAAAGAGAACCTGCTCTAAAAACAACATAACCATAAGGTAATCTTTCTTTTTATAGTTAAAGTGATATTTTGCAATGATATGCAGTGTTTGAAATGTCAGGGGATGACTGAAACTATGCCCTATAGTAAAATTACTTCCCACAAACAGCGTTCTGGAGAGAAAGAAGTATCTGTGGATTACTTTTGACTACTTTCTGCTTATGAAGGAAAGCTCACCTCTGATTTGTAGCATTTGATAGAAACAACAGCGATTCACAAGAATAACCCTCCCCATTCAAATTGCCAGAAAGTCCCTGGAAGAGCCAGAAGGCAGATTATTGCCTGGGTCTCAACCTTCCTCTAAAATGAATACTAATTAGTTGTGTTCCTTAAATATCCAACTACTCAGAAACAAACACAAAAAACCAAAGCAAAGCAAAGCAAAGCAAAAAATTTGCTGAAAAAAACACAACCCAATAATCAAGGTTAAATCAATGCTGAAAGGATGTGGGAAATGTGGACTTTGTGTGTACCTTGGACATCTAAAAGCTATTGGGAAAATATTTGTGTTTCCTGTCATCTGTGCCACCTCCCAATATAAGCACATGTGGCTGCCATGATCCAGCAACGTCTCCAGACCCCTCAACATCAGTTCTGTAGCTAGCTGATGCTTTGAAAAAACTCCAGAGACAAAGCCCATGCTTAGTCATTCATCACACTAGTCAACTGCAAAGATGTCCAACTGCAAAAGGTGTTGACTCACTAGCCTTGATTTGGCCCTTGCTAACTATAGGTTAATTAGTCTTTCTGTATGAGCCTCACTCAGGCCTTGGGAGGCACTAACTTCAGAAGAACTGCATCCAGACTATGACATACTCTACAATATGAAATGAAGTTCTTTAACACTTTCTAACCCACATTTAGATTTCTAACACAAATCTGTCCTTTTCAGAGCCACATGTACATGCACCTGCTTTCAGGTATTTTACTACCTTAAAAAAATTCCTCAAAACCTATAGCGTTCTTCCAGTACAATATACAATGCCCTTTTTACCTGGATTCAAGTTAATGTTTTTATTTCTCGCTCATCCTGTGATAGGATCTCAGATTACTTAAGGACACTTTTTTGATTAAAAAACTCAAAAGAAATAAAAGGCAAAAAAAAACCTTGCAGTGCTTAAAAACATTTTTTTTGCAAAGGTCTGCAATTTTTCTACTGAATGCTGTATTGACAATGTAATATTTTTCCTCTATTTTTACTGAAATGGAGGTATAACTTTGTATTATTTGTGACAAGAGGTATTGTGCAGGTATCTGTAATGACAGCCAGCTTCTAAAGTGACTATGGACAGGAAGGCAGAGAAGTGAAAGAAAAATTACTATTCACCTCCATGCTTAAGTATAGAAGCCCTCAACTCAGCCTGAGGCCTGTATCCTGAATATATCCTTAAGCCTGAATGTGAAACACCTGCTTGAGTCATGCCTGAGATTGTGAAAACCTAGAAGGTCTAGGTGAGAACTAAGCAAAATCAGCCCAGGAAATCATGTTGTAAATGCCTCACTGATACAGAACCTGGCAGTTTTGTGTGTCTCTGGACTAATTCTAACTGACTGAAACAAAGTAGGTTCTACTAAATTTATAGACACAGCAGTGGTGTAAGATTTATTTTGGTTTTAAGGTATTAGTAGTGTCCATCCTTAGTGCCTTTGACAGCAAATCACATTTTGCTACCAGAATATAAAATCTTGGAGAAAGGAAAGTTTAGCGTTATCACAAGCCACCTTGGTTTCTGGATTATATGTAACATTTCAAATTATGGCAAGGGCATGAGACAAGATTGCTGAGGACATAGATGGAAATATCCAAAGGTAAAACAAACATATTTTTCTTCTATTATTTATACAAAATATTTTTATGATATGAAATCCAATAGAAAACCATCATACTTCATTTAAGCTGAGACTTGGACTTGGATTCCAGCTCACACCCTTTTCTGTTACGCATTAAGAACAAGCTCACACCATAAACAAGCAATATTTGAAATAATAAAAGTCCTATGTAGTGTATCAATTTTACATCTAACACATCGGCACAAATTTTAAAATATTGAAATGAGTCTTATGGGGATGCATAAAGAGAGCAAAGAGAAATAAAATGCACCAAATGATACAGTTTTGTATTCCTATACATTTAGAAGTCAGAATATGGATGTGCATATATGAATAAAATGCAGCACCCGTTATTTCCAAACAGAATATCTAATTCCATACCCTTAGCTCATTTGATCTCTCATCCTAAGAAAATTCAGTTTGTTGAGTGCTTTCAAATGCAATAAACTTTGCCAGATGAAATTGTGAAGTCTCTCACTTTAGAGAGGCCGGTATGGCAAAGGGAGCTTTGCATCTGTTATTGAAACTCATAGTTTATTTAATAACTCATAGTTATTGAAACTCAAGTGCCCATGAACTGTCTATTTCAATAGAATTTTAATATTAGGCAAAGACAGCTTTGAAGTAACCTAGCTTCAAAATTTTCAGGTAGACAAGTGTAAGTGAGAGCTGACAAGTTTGTATATAAATACTGGGTTTTTATATTTATATTCTCTGAGCAAATTCCATACCAAAAATGCTATTTGATAAGTCAACAAGGACTGTCTGGGAGATCAAATGATGCAGAGATACATAATGCATGAGAACACTTTAACCTTTAGATCATTGGCCTAAATAGTTATTAAAAATTATTACTGTTTGAAAGCTGCTTACTGAACAACTGTATGCAAAGTGAGGTAGCAGGAGGTTAAGCGTTAGAAAGCCTACGGTCAGTGAGGCTCATATTTTCTTATTTTGCTAAGGGTATGTTCGTGGGACACTGGAGGAAAGGTCTAGTGCTTTTACCCATGCTATCACTTGTTTATAAACTTAACTTTTCCACCTTTCTGGCCTAGTACTTGTTTAGAGCACTTGATTGGTTTTCTAGTGGGTAAGATTAAGATGGAATGGCAAGGATAGTAACGATCATTTTTTATTTAACATCATCTGTATCTTCTTTTACATCAACACAGTGCTCGCCTTGACACTCACTGTATTTTTTTAACTTACAGTTTGGAGTTGCTCTGTAATAACTGCCTAGTCATATTACATATTACACCTATTTTGAAAAAGTAAGGGGAAACTGGGATGAAAGCTTCAGTTTAACTTAATTCCCTTCAACTTCAAGGAAAACAACCTATTCTTTTCCAGATCATAACTTTTCTTCAGACACTTGCTGACTGCTCTCGACTATGAACATTGGGAGAAGACCATTTTGATTACTAGAGATGAGCAGAAACAGCAGAGTGCCATTTTTTTTCTCTCTGAATTGAGGGCAGAATAACCTGGGGTCACAAAACAGGGTTCTCATCCGACACTCAAGTTCTATTTCCAGTTTCCCACTGACTCTTCAGGTGGCCTGGAGTGAGTCACGTTGCCACTCGGGGCTTTAGCCCCTCAAAGTGCATATGAAGAAGGGACTATGATGCCAAGTTTTTAAAGAGCACTTTGATGCCCTGGACAGTGCTGACGAAAGGATACTTATGGTTCCATTTCTTCCCTCACGGCCAAATACCCCGATTGCATTTACTTTTTCCAGCACAGAAATAGCTTATTACTTAGCATTATTCAGAAAGTGGTAAAACCTGTTCTTCATGTAACTATGAGTAGTTACCAATAGCTTAGGAAATTACTCAATAATTTCAGAGTGAAATATTTCTCTGATGCTAGCCCTTTACATTAATGTAGCAATACTCAGAGCAGGTTTGGTGCACTGATTCTACAATTCATTTCAACTAATTAGCAGGACAATTTCAGAGGTTTACCTCTGGCTGTATTACTCAAAATTTCACCATGTGCCACTATCCAAATATGGATGTGTGCTGTTGCTTAGATAGATTTACAAGTTATGTTACAGAAGCAGACCTACAGTAAACTGGGAACATCTGCTTATGAGATCCCAAGAATCAACAGGCCGTTGACGATTTGGGAGCAGCAGGTCTCTGTGCACAAGAAGAGGTGACCCATGTATATATTATTTTCTTGTTATTTGACTTTATTTATAAAAAAGTTATATTTTAGCCCAGTTTCAGCAGTTAGTCATGATAACCATTGAATATAGCCTTGGAACATCTCATATTTATGTTCTTACTTCAAATTAATGACCTCAGTATATGAACACATTTTTGACTGAAGTTCCTGCTGGCTGAGGGAGTGAGGCAGGGATAGTCACACTGTCGTGCCTAGTGATCTAACCTACTTCTGTGTCTAATTAATTGGAAAATGGAGCTGTGTAGCTGTGTGGTGTGGGGAACCACCCTCAGGGACAGGGTATGAATGCTATTTGTGGAAAATCAGTAATGCAAATTGTTAGACGCCTTTTCTCCCTTTTCTGTTACGCATTAAGAAGGATAACCCAAATGGATGCTGTGTGACTCTCTGCACACACACGGGGCTTCAGACTCCTGTTTAAAAAGATGGAACATGGTCAATCTTTCCTTATCTGCACTGAATCACCCAATATAAGAAGAAAGGAGTTCAGCAGAGAAGTACACTAAAGGCCTATTGTTCAATTTTCTGGCCATCAGAGGCAAGTCTACACAGCCAGGAACAGGCAGTTGTACAGCTGCTCTGTCCTCACCTTTGTATAGTCTTCATTTTGCTCTGGAGGTGGAGGGAGTCACAGAATAACCGTAAGACTTAGGGTCCATCATGTTGCTGGAGCCACAGTGTAAAGGCATTTTCGCATTCACATGAGGGGAATGAGGATAGAATATTCCTTTCTTGGAAAATAACCTCAGAAAACCGGATCCACAAGATGTCACATGAGTTACAATAGTCAGAAGTGCTAGGCTTGTTAATTTTACAAACTCCTGGAGCAAATCCAGCAGGTTATGGTCTTGTGCTGACCTCATGAAAATGGGTTTTAATACAGAATTATCTGCAAAGTGTGGACCAGTGTTGGCTGCTTGCATTTGTCTTATCACAGGTTCTCTGAGACTTTTCTTTGTACTGATCCTGTTTCATAGCTCCATGTCACTGAGATGCTCTTGGTTTGGAAGGATACCCCTTGTTACTCACTAAGAATTAAAGCTGATACTACCTCCCCCTAGGAGGATGCCTAATAGGAATGGCTGGCATATAACTTCATTGCTTAAATAAACCTGTGGCTAGTGAGGGACTTTCATTTAGCTGAAAGTTACTAAGCTATTGAAGGATTAGAAGTTTTGGGAAGAAGAATGTTTGTAATCCAGGCCTTAGTGCACCCTGACTGTTTTTTGATGAGTGCCTGTTTTGATGACTGCATGTTTTTTGCATGAGTGAAAGACTTGGTGGGATCAGAATTCTGGACAAGTTCAAGAGGCATAGCTAAAATCTCGTTCAGAGTGAGTGGACTTCAGTCTCTTTAGCACTTCATTTTTGTTTTCCCCTTCAGGGGCTTTATGCTAGAAATGACAGCACCCTCAAAATTGGTGGTGGCTCAGATTTATCAGTGCAAGAGAGCGAGAGACTGAAACAGGACAAGTCATTTTGAACAACTGTATAAACACTGCATTGTCAAACAAGGTGTTTTCCTCCTGAGATCAAATACAGCACCTCTACATGGTGTTTGAAAGAGAGCTAACAGAAATGGATTCACATATATGTAACCACCATTCCTGGTAAACGCTTTGTTACTTGGATGAAAAAGGATGGGAGTACTGATGACTCTTGAACAGCTGTTTAGGGGACTGGGAAACAGAAGTGGTTTGTACAAATGGTTTCTCCTATAATGTGGTTGAATGAAGCTTGTTGACACAGCAGCAGCACTCAAGAACACCATACCTGCTGCATGCTGCCTTCGTGTGTCCTCCAAGGAGGTGCAGCCAGTTGACAGCCCTTGTCCTCCAGTCTTTCCTTGCAACAGTATCACCCTCTCAAACCTGAGGACTCAGTTGCTCCTGCAAATGCTTCCTGCCTGATGTCAGTCCAAAAAGTCAGGCAGGTCAGTTTTTAATAATTTGTTCTTTCGAACAGAAATGATTTAGAGAGTCCAGTTAGTTAATTGGAGGTGGTAACAAACTCCAGCAGGAGGAATAAATGAATAGCTGGGAATGGTAACCTCTATGCTTGACAGGTAAACCTTGACATAGCCTCTCCTCTTTCCTAGACTGGTAGATTTCTGAATCACTTATTGGCAGCCCTGGCAACCACAATATGGACTAAAATGTTGTTTTTCCTTCAGTTCGATGTGCACCTGTAATTGGCTATTATATAGCCCCATGCCCTTGATGCTGGCAAAACCTGCAGGTTTTCCTATAGACATAAGAATAAACGGTCAACGTTTCCAAGTGTATCCTAAAGCACAATGCCAAAAAGCACACGCTGATCCTGACATAAATGAGCTGCTGGAAAACCCATACCAGCATAAATCTCCGCAATATATGAAAAACATCTATGTACCCAGTGTGGAGCTGAACTTCAAGCATGCAAGCTAAAACACTTTGCATGAGTTAATATTATATCCCACAGTTTTCTGTATATATAAGACACAATGCCCTGTAGGGGAGAGTTTCAGAAGGGAAGGAAGCCAGCACTGCAATTAATTTATTCTTCAAAAATGTCACTAAAATATCATAGTGAGAACAAGGAGACAGACATTAATTCTAGAATATCATGCAAAATAAGTGGCAGCGTCATTCCAAAGGGTCAGGGTAGTTTACTTTTAATTACCCTGTTATAGGCAGAAAACCAGAGGCTTCAGTGATAAGTAGATCTGGGTCTGCAAGATGTGGTAGTAATAATCCAAAGCATATAGCTAGTGGTGTCTTTGAAAGGAAGCTGACATTTTCAAATGATAGTATAGGAACTACACGGAAAGAGCAGAAAAGGGAATTATTAACAACTTACCTAATGCTGTTCTTGCTGGTGTGGCATCTTTTTTAATCCAAAAGGATACCCATGAAAGAACAACTGTTAATATACAGGGAATGTATGTTTGAATAGTAAAGTATCCCATTCTTCTACTTAAGTCGAAGTATATAGTCATGACTACATAATCACCTGCAATAATAGCACATAAAATAAATTGACATTGTGGTGAGGTACAGACAGTTGTTCACTTACCTGGTAGTTTTTTAAGCTTTATAAAAACACCATATTTGAAATATTTCTTAGTTGTTCAATAGCATCTGTGCAGTAATGCTCACATGAGATGGAATTTAAATAAATTTTTCCATTCTAATTTCCTTTAATTTTAGGTCTCTGGAAATGTTGATCTATTTGGACAGGCAGAGGCTCTTAGTAATCATTTTGGATGAGTAAATTTTTGAAAGGTATTTTGAATTTCCAGTCTTGATATTTCTGGATGGCTCCATGACCACAAACAAGAAGTTACTGTCGTTCACTAGATTCTGTAACCAAGCCACACAAAATCCCTCCTTCTGCAAGCTGTGTCTTCCCTGCCCTAATTTCAGGTTTGAGTCACTTCTGTTATCTTATTTTGTGATATGAATTAGGCAGTAGGGGTCTTTATGGCAAGTGCAGCATGCACGTGAGTATACCTTGACATATGAAGTAATTTATAGACACTAGAGCCTCAATACTGGTGAGAGAGGTCAGGCTGCATGCTTTTAAAGGACTTATCATTACAAACTGTGAGTCTCTTTTTTTCCTCCATTTCAAAGCAGTTGTGGTCACTTGTGGCATCTGTAAACCTTCAGAAGGTGACTCTGAATATGAAGTTTATTATTCTGCTGAATAGTAAAAATTATAAAATCAAGAGCTCAGTAAGAAGGCTAGTTTATCTCACATTATATAATTTTCTTCACAGTATCTCTTCTGCTAACCCTCATGACTCTGCAGGGGATAATAATCTGTCCCTCTCTCTTTACTCAGTGGAGGCTACTGACCTTATCACCTCTCTCCTTACTAGCAGCTCCCTCAGCTTCATAGATGTTAACTATCCTTTTCTCTCAGACAGTCACAGTCATTAACAATAATGAAACTGAACTGAGACCAATTTCTGTACTTCACTTGAAGTATGCTGCTTCCATTTCAGATGTGAAGAAGTGTTTATATGCCTAAGAACTTTTATGGGGTTTTGTCTGACTACGTCAGACTTGTCCTAATAAATTCTATTGCTTGTTACAAACCTCGACTTTCTAGAATATGATATTTGCAGAAGACATCATTTGCAATAGGTAAAGAAGTCTGTCCTGCTACAGCAAACCATCAGAAGACTGAAGAAATTGGAAGCACAAAGAGATTAAACCCCCAAGGAATGTACATGCAACTCACCCAAGTAGAGGTATAATGAGTTCATTATTTGAGACAAATTAAAGCTTGATCTTCTAGTAACAGAGAGCATATGAACAAATGCATTTAATACAGTGGATATTTTGACTATAGGTAAATTTGGCACAGAAAATAAATTAATTCAATAAGAATAACTTCCACCCTAAGAATCTCTGAAGGCCACTGTAAAATGGGTGAACTACCATAAGCTACAAAGTCAAAGGTAAATAAAAATCTGACTGTGGAATTTGGAGAGAGAAACTTAGAACAATGAGTCAAAAGGAAAACTTTGTATGTGTTAAGTACATTGGTTTGAGATAGATATATTTGAAAGAGGTTGATAAGACTGTGGGTTCCTGTATCATGCCTCTGTTAGATGAATGCATACATTTTCACAAGTATCATGCCAGTAAAAATCACGTGACCTCAGGAAGCTGGACAGTCATTTCAGAAGCCTTGTGTATTTGGCATTATGGGACAGAGCTTTAATGAAAGAACTCACTGCTGTTACAAGTAGGAAGTATCGCAATACATCATGACATAGTGACCCTCGTGGCTTGTTCACAGGCTAAGGGTTATTTTCATTGCATTAACCTCCAGGGCTTTTCTCCGTGCAGGGAATGGCACCAGGGAACAAATGTGGGTTAGTAACCATTGGTTCTACTGGCTTATTGTTAGACTACATCAGCTCCCTAATCTTGTTTGCCGCATTGAAGAAAGATTTACACCACAGCAACTGAGATCATTTCATAGAAATAGGTGTAAGGAAGTCAGAGGCTGTGTGAACTAGTGCTTCTACTGACAGCAACTAACTCAACTATGGAAAAAAAAGTGATAATAATGTTTCAAACATTGTCTGTCAAGGCAGAAGGATAAGCAGAAAAGGAAATCAAAGACTCTACAAGAAAAGTACCAAGCCTTTACAATTCTATTTCTGTTATTATATCTAGAACTATACATCTGTGAATAAGCTGCTTGAGAATGGTATAAAGTAAAGCAATTTGCAGACATCTCATTGTGTACAACAATCTATGATACACAGAATTCCAGTGCATACACAGGTCACTGCTCCTCTGAATAGTATGATTGTGATACCTAGAACAGAAAATGAGAGTGGGGCTAGATACTGGACAGTAAGATACTGGGAAAGTAAGGCAGAGTCCTTGCTTCCAAGGTCTGTGACTGAAATAAACCTGATAAACTGAATGTGGGAGAAAATTATGGTGCATTTCAACTGTTTTGCAGGCAGGAACTCAGGCAGAGATCAAATGATATAAAGTCCATCATCACATTTAGTCACAAACTTATTCAGCATCTTTCAGGCAGGATTCATTTCCCCTGATTTTAGACATCTAGAAAGTAAATTCTACAGATGACCTGCACACTGTAGCCTCCTTTCTACACTTAATGAAAAGAAATTGACACTTCTAGATTATGGTTTGTCAATCTGTTTTAGAGGTACACTTTAGAAGGAGGTGAATGTGCCCAAAACATTTCCATTTCTCTCCTGTGATTAAAAAAGGAGAGTGATGGACTCAATGTGGACAAAGACATTGTAAACACTTGCAGATAATCCAAGGAATCAATCACACCCCTTGATTCCATGGTAAAAGCTAAATTGGTCTACTTCTGTGACGGTGCTAAGGGTATTTTACATATTATAACAACTTCCTTAACATTCTAAAGTGTGTTTTAGTTATTTTCCTCCTTTGTTTCACAGTTAAACTTGATATCTTCATCCTTGAGGACATGCAGAACTCCTTCTCTCTTCGCTCCTCTGTTCTCCTCGACCTACCTTCCTTCCTTCCTTCCTTCCTTCTTTCCCTCCCCTGATGTTTATTACAACAGAACTTCTCACCTTCTCTGCAGAAGATCCTTCCAGAAGTTAAATAAAGGAACTGTGACTTGGTCAAATTTTACAAGGAGCTGCAAATTCCCAAGTGTGCAACAGAGATCCATAGATTTCTAACAAGCACCCAATGAAGGTGAAATCCTAGGATAGTGAGTGGCTGTATCCATTTAGCCACTAACCTATTTTCTTGTCTGAGATCCATGCAAAAATTCTCACAAAGAAGAAGGCAGTAGCTGGCATACGGACTTACATACTGTACCCTCTGTGCTCTACTCTAACTTACAGGAACACACTCACTGATAACATACCAAGAGGTTGGGAGGACAATTTGGTTCAGTGGAATTACTGATGCAAAGTGGAAGTAAGAGGAGAATTTTCTGGTTATTCTCTAGTACTCTAACCACATTTAGAAAGGATGCAGCTCAGAGACAATGAATGCTGATGACAATGCTTAGTGAGAGGAGGAAATTGCCACTGTTGAAATGCAGACCCCCAACTGGAAGCACCAATGTTGTGACTGTCGAAGGCAAGCATGTTTCTGTACAACATGTACTGAATGCATTTTTTTAGTAGCTACAGTAAATTACAATTTTCAACTAAATTACCACTTCAGTTCTTCTATCCTCAGCCAAATCAACTTCTGTTGAGATTCCTGAATTGTCTCTTTGAATACAGAAGAGCCAGCATGTATGTGCTATGGCTACTTTCCTCATTGCACTACTCCAAACTGTGTTATTATTATTACTATTATTATTATTATTGTTGTTGTCTAAATTACTCTTTCCAGAAGTAATTATTCTCTACATATCTAAAAGCAGCTTAAAGGAAATTAGCAATGGTACATACATTTCTGACTTTCTGTATACACACAAAATAATTTGTACAAACTCCTCTCTCTTCTAAGAGACTTGAAATTCATTCTGTATGTCCTGCAGGCATGAACAACCCAAAGGGGAGAAAAAGCTTTCAAGAACTCTCTGTAGTACCTCCTTGCTCCTTGGCCAGCCTTTAGAGCTCCACCTGCCATTACTGCCACTGCTAGAAGAAGAGCTGGGGTTGATTGTACGAAATACCCTGCAGTGCAGGCAAGATGGGAAAAACCTCCTTCCAAACTGCATATCATTAAATCAATGTACTTGGTTTAAAAGTAATCACACAGTGATTGCCTAGTGTGGGACCACTGGAATAGCTAATATCAAAAAAATTCACTTTAAACCCCAGAGAGGAATTCTACTTTTTAACGGCTTAAATAATTTCCCAGGAAGGTAAACTAACTTTTAACTGAACCATCAGACCATTGATTCACTGAAATAATGAAAATAACCTTGACGCAAAATAGTGCCCAACTAGTTTTTTATAATGAGAGCAAAAGATACACCTTGATGCAGCAAATCTGGAGTAATAGGAATGGTATAGCAATGCTTCCCATGAAACCAAGATAACTGCTCTCTGTGACCCATAGGACTTACATTAGCTTAAGTTTCTAGCTTGAAAGTAGGACACTATTTAGAATAATAATGATTTTTAAAGGATAAACTGCTGTGGATTTTAATGAACAATGCTACACTATAGTCTATTTCCTTTGTCTTTTGAACACTAAAGGCATGGTTGACTGAATTGCCAGAATTTGGCCTACGTTGCACCAAGAATGGCTCCCTTAAGGGTGAAATGTTTGAGCAGAATGCAATTGGTTATTCTATTTTGAGAAAATATTAAAAAAAATACAAAATTATATACTGTAAATCATTTATTTACCTAAACCATACTATACTATCATATCACACATTTTCATTTATCTTCCCATTATACTGAGGCTAACAAGTGCTGCAATCCCAACTATCTTAGAAAAAAGTTAAATAAAAAATGACTTTACAAAGATTACGACGTAAAACTACAATGCATACACAGAGCAATT